GGCATACTGAACTTGAAACACTAACGCCGTTCTCTCTCCATAGATGCTAGCAGACCTGCTGAGTTTCTCCAGCACTTTCTGTTCGTATATGCAATTCATTTATTCTTCATCCATTTACAGACAAACAATACGATTTTTATTCAACCTCAACATGGTTCCTTTTGAATAGGCTAATTTAATTATTACCAACACCAGCAGAAAGTCTCCTTAACAAATGTTACTGAATACTTTCCTCAACAAAGCAGAAATGTCAAAATAACTGGGTTTGAAGGTCCTTACAGAGGTTAAACTCACCTTTCCATGGACTCTCAGGTTGGAGAGAAGGAGAGAAAAAATATACGTATAAGGCAACTGCTACAAACAGCTGAGCATTTCACTTCAAAATAAACCAGGCATCCCAAACTTTGTCTCACTCCAACACAAAGCAACCAAAACAAAGCTTTTCACAGCTTCAGTGAGAGAATTCTCAATTACGAAAGAGATTTCAGGTTCTTCCACAACTCGTGAAATGATGTGGTTCAAATGCAAACAAACAACTATTTCCAATTCTGAAGCCACTGTGCCGTGAATAACTGGTGAAATAGGGTGCTTAGCTTAGGGTCATAAGACAGGATCCGTGTTTAGAGTCAAGAAGAACAGCATGGAACAGACCCTTCGGTCCAACTTGTCCATGCCAACCAGATATCCTAAATAAATCTAGTCCCATTTGCCAGCATTTGGCCCATATCCCTCTGAACCCGTCCTCTTCATTTACCCATCCAGATGCTTTTTAAATGTTGTAATTGTACCAGCTTCCTCTGGCAGCTCATTCCACACACGCACCACCCTGTGCGCGAAACATTTGCCCCTCAAGTCCCTTTTAAATCTTTCCCTTCTCAGCTTAAACCAATGCCCTGTAGTTTTGGACTCCCCCAACCTGGGGAAAAGACCTTGTCTGTTTAGCCTATCCATGCCCCCCATTATTTTATAAATCGCTATAAGATCACTCCTCAGCCTCCGATGCTCCAGGGAAAATAGCTTCAGCCTATTCAGCCTAACCCTGTAGCTCAAACCCTCCAACCCTAGCAAAATCCTTATAAATATTTTCAGAACCCTTTCAAGTTTCACAACATCCTTCCTCTAGCAGTGAGACCAGAGCTGCAGGCGGTATTCCAAAAGTTGCCTACCCAACTACCTGCACAGCTACAACATGACCTCTCAACTCCTGTACTCAATGCACTGACCAATAAAGGCAAGCATACCAAATGCCTTCTTCACTACACTACCTACCTACGACTCCACTTTCAAGGGACGATGTAGCCACACTCCAAGGTCTCTTTGTTCAGCAGCACTGCCCAGGACCTTACCATTAAGTGCACAAGTCAAATCAAATGTAGGCTGGAATGCAGCTTAATTTTCAGCTCGAAAAAAGATTCCACAAATAAATGAGAAACTTAGAACTTGGAGAAGATTCAGTCTGCTCTGGGGGTCTGCAAAATAACAGAAACAGAAAGCTGTATTCACATAGCACCTTCAGAGAAAAATATCCCAACATGCTCAGGATCCAACAAATAACATAGGGAGGTGACCAAAAGCAACTTTAAAATGGATTTAAAAGGAGAATCTTAAAAAGGGGATGAATAAGTGAAATAAAATGCTTTAGGCAGGGTAAAAAAATTCAGAGCATTGAATATAATGCTTGAAAATTGATAAGTTGGAACAATGGCAGGGATCTGGAAGAGTCAAGAATCAGTGCAACACAGCATTATAGCAGAGGAGAGATAAAAAGGTTCCTTCCTCTTCATAGGCAGTTCTCTTCATGAAAAATGACTTGCTTCCACTCCAGGTTCTGAAATGGCTGATAAGGCAAAGGTTTTGTCAGCTGACTCTGCCATGAGCAGCTGAAGGGTTGGCTACCTGGGATGTGCTTGGACATTTGTGCACTCCCTCCAATATAAAAGACTTTGCCTCTGCACATTTCCGACAAAATCTCTTTGTTTATTTGGGAAGGCATCAAATAAATGGCCTGTTCTGCTGTCCTCCTAAGAGTCTCCTGCCACAACCAAGTCCTGAGTAGAGTAGTTGCTTTAGGTGCCAGATTATGAAAGATGTATCTCATCCAGCAGGGCCGGTTTTGAGTGGCTACTAGTACAATGGTGGGCAAGGTGACTTTGGAGAGGATGCTACCTTTGAGTTGAATATCTTGCCATTAGATTTAGAGGAACCTGTGAAGGACTTGCTGGTAGTCCTGTATTTTGTTTCAGGGCACCAGTTGCAAGCTGGCCAAGTGGTGATCATTGCTGTTCAATAAACAATGACGTTAGTCCATATATGAGACCTCGATCCTCAAATACTCTTCAGTCAAGAGAAGGCTGAGCTGACACACTGAGGTAATGGTGAATTTTGTTGCTTGCATCTGTTATTCCTGAAATGGTCCACATATTTTAGCAATGTCGTCAAATCTGGGGTGGAGTGAGGTGGCGGGGTGAGACTTGCTTTGGTAATTGAACCACAACTACCAATGTCTATGGGATTTTTTTTTTAAAGCATTAGGGAAGATGAAATGATAATGACTTCAGCAAACTCAGTGACTGACTAAGCATGCCCTCAAGTGTGAAGTCAATAGAATAAAGGAGGTCACCATGATACAGAAGAATATGAAATTTCAATTGAAGAGCTGAAGGACTGGGAGTCAATGGAGTTCAGTAACAGTGATCAGGATTTAGTGTGGGATATGACAGGAGGAGATCAGCGTAATTTTTAATGAGGTGAACCTGACAGAAGATGGGAGTTGACCAGAAGATCAAGAGTGAGATCAAGGGTGCGTGTGTGTGTGCCCGCACAATGTGTCGGGCTCTCACTTAGGTCACTCCAGTGAGCAATGCCACCTAAAGCAGTACAAAAACTCATTTAGAGAAGCATTAAAGGCAGACAGAATATTACTTGATTTCAGAGAGATTTTTACTTTCTTAAACTCTGCTTGTAATCTAGTGATTGTTGCTAGGGAGTGAACAGATTCATTTATGACCTAATTTGATTGTGATGCACAGAGAACTAAGCTGTCCATATTGAATCTCAACTCACATACAAAGAATGGCCACCAGTAACAGAAGACTTCCCACAGTCCACAATACTATAGCAGCACAGCACGAGTCAACATCTTGAGGTAAGATGATTAAAGAGGGAAGAAGGAAATTGAAGCACTGGGCACCACAGGTGATTGTTAGCTTTTGACCCAACATTAATGTGAAATTAAACGTGATGTAGAAAAGTGAGAGAGTGGACATGCATTTCAATAATCTTGCAATCTGATATGTCACTGATCGTTCCCTAAACCTGGAGTTTCCATTGTAAGGCCATCAGATATCAAATAAACAAAATACACGTCTATTGAAAATAAATTCAACTTCTCTTCATGTTAGAAAGTTGCAAGTATTACTTATAATAACAAACAATGTTTAATACTATTAATTCAACAGGTGCAGTACTTTTTGCTGATTTATCTGGGGAGCCACAATCTAAAAGCTGTTCTAATATCACATGTTGCAACACAGTAGAAACTTTAGACACTTGTCAAAGATTCAGATTTGAAATTGTATGCAAATTACTCCTCTAGTTTGTGGCTGTTATTTTGGTAAAACCCCTGCAGTTTGCCCCCGTTCTCTATATTTAGATGGTATTTTGCATAAAGACCACTTGCATATTAGATTTGTCAGTTAACTGGAGTTTAGTTCCTGTAGCCTTATTCTTCTGTATGATCAAGTTGCAATAATGCTCTCACAAACTAGTGATGGTATTTTGGCCAAGGCGGTTGCCTTATAATATGTTATTCTAAAACGTTGTCCTCTAAACTCGCAAATAACCTTGCTTAGTCTACACTTAGGATTACTGTGCACAGTTCTGGTCTACAGATCACCCGAAGATTTCAGAAAAACCAGAGAAAGCATAAATTATATTTAGAAGGTTATTACCATAATGGAGGCGTTACAAATATCAATGAGCACTGAACATGCTCTGAGTCTCTTCACTGGAAAAAAGACGAAGAAGTGGCCTTATCAAGGCGTTAAAAATTACAAAGATTCAATGGGATAAACAAAGAGAACACATTTTAATGTGCACAGAGAATATCCAGTGCACTGCATTCACTTGTTACTAAATGCTCCCTCTCAAGTCTACTTTCCCTGACCCTGAGCATCCTTGTGTGGTCAACCACCCAAAGATGTGGAGGTAAGGTTTGAATGTCCCACACATGATGCCAATGTTCAGCAATGACAGCAAAAAGGGCTTTATACTGTGCAAAAGCCTTCCTTTTCAGAGTGATAACATTGCTACAACCGAGGCCATTCTCCCACTTCAAAACAAAATCAGGAGAGAGTTCAAAACAACCAATCAACACAACACTATGCCTTCAAATTTTCTTAAAATACATGGCAAATTATTTTAAAATAAAAAGAATAAAATGGTCTTTTTTAAAAAAGCAGGCAAAAAGTTTCCTCCAGTCTCAACAAACTGAGAAAATATCTTGTCAAAGACAATTCTGAAGATGATTGATTTATTTGGGAAGGAAAACAAGAATTCACTGCAGTGTACATTATAAAAACCTCATTTATAGAATAGTTCTCACTGAAATAAGCCAAAATTTACCATTTTCATTCTGAATTTTTCTCCACCTACTCAGTCCAAAAGATTGGTTGAAGATTAAGAAATTTACTCCTTCACCATGAATAACTTTAAATAACAATTCTGAAGTGTTTCAGAATCACTCATCAACATACAAGAATAAGAATTTGATCAGCTCTGCTGCTACAGTAAATACTAAATGACCCAGGAGATCATGCTTTGGCTGGGCTTGAGAAGAAAATTCAGTCTGGTGTCCACTTTAACATCATTTACTGCCAATGAATGTGAAATCAACACACTTGAAAATTTTATGACTGAAAAACTTCAGTTGCAGGATCTCATGTGTTGTAGGTCCAAAGCATGAACAGTGTTATAAAATGTTGAGTTTTAGACCTTCTTACCTGTTGCTGATGATTGGCCACTGGCATCTTTGACCAGAGATTGGGGCACATTCGACTGTTGCTGACTGGAGCTGACTTCAGGTTCAGCACTGACAGATGGAGACAAGGAAACCTCACTGGAAGCCCCAGTCTTCACCATCTGTGCCCCTATGTCTTCAGAAGCATTCTGCTCTTCTTGGCCAGGAAGCTGGAGGGCCGAGAGTGGGATATTGATCTGCTGGTTTCCTCCTGATGTGCTGACCGGCATCTGAAGAACTAATTTCTGCCCAGTTCCTTGACCTCCATTCAGCTTCTTCTGCGAAGTCGTGCAACCCCGTCCTGATTTTGTACCCGCTACCCGAGTGGAGGCAGGTGGAATGACAGAAATACCCTGCGAGTCAATCTTTTCTGGCATGTGGCCAGCAGGAAGGAGAGCTGAGGATTTGGTAGGACCCAAATAGGAAGCAGGACCAGACTTTGATCCGGACTTCGACCCAGGCTTCAATGCAACAGATGAACTATCGTTGTCCATAGAAATTTCTGCATTTGTCACAATGTAATAGTCTTCAGGACCCTCCTGCTTGATCTTTTTAGCAATCACCTCATTACTGTTCTCATTAGCATGGTGGTTTGGTGAATCTGGCAAAAGCGAAGGACCAGCTTCCCGCCTTTTCAGTGAGTTGTTCCGCAGCTGAGAATCATAGTCACTATCCTCATCCGTCACTGAAGACTCGCATGCCATATGAAACAAATCACCTTCATCATCGTACTCTTCAACATTCTCGTCAATCTCAGAATGTTCACTGTATGAAAAGTCACAGGAATCCCTGGTCCGGGGACATTCGGCCTTTCCTTTTGAGGGTCTATTAAGATATTTCTCTGCTGGGTTTTGTTGAGACTCTGACGACATTGCAATTATGCTGGGGCTCTCAGAATTAAAACTTCTACTGTCCTGAAAGCACACTCTGTCCTGGGAACCTGCCCTGCAAGTAACAGCCAATGGCCAATGGTAAGCATGGCCAGCACCACAACCCCACATTGCAGTGAGGTTTCCATGGGCCCCTTCAGTCAATAAGTGCTTCAGGTTTGGAATGAGGCTGCAGATGGTTCCATGACTGTGAGCCCAGCTAACAAGTTTGGACAGATTTTCTGAAGACGTGTGAAGACAGTCTTCCATTTTTTTGGGCTCTTATTCTTCAATAGTTAGGGTCCTAAAAGAAAAAGGGAAAAAAACATGAGTGGGCTACTGTACTTGCATGCTCATTAACAAAATGCAAACAAACTTATTGCATTAAAACAGTTAAGGGTTCACATCAAAATAAGTCTCAATTTATTAATTACTTCATTGTCAATAATTCACATTAAACAGAACTAGACAGATTCGCGCTACCATCCCAAACATAGACTAAAAATTCACGCTGCTTGTGAAATTATTTCTATAACATTGCTGTGAGCCTTGTATGTACTCCATAAGAGACTGAATGTACAGAAATAAAATTTTCAGTTTTTTTTGATCACTCAGGATCATACTTTGATCTGACCCAAAGCTGTTTCCATTGCGGTCTGTAGCTCTTTCCAGTCAGTCAGGAGGCAGCAATGGTCAGGGGACACCATTTTAGCAAATTACATTTGAGATTCCAATCTGCTGGCCACAAAATAAGATAAGCTGTTTTTACTATAATGCTTCCTGTTGTAGGCCTGCCTTCCTTTTCAAAAGGCCTCCCAAAACATTATTTTCTCAATAAAACAAAAACCTGCAATCTTTTGGAAACAATTTTTAACAAGCACTTTGAAGCATTCTGACCTATAGAAGAAGCTCATACAGATGAAAAACTTTTACACATTCAACAATGAATGCCCCAACCAGATCTCGTGGAATCAAAAATCCATGTGATTAATAAGTTATACTCATTAATGCTTTAAGGCTAATCGCCATTCAGTATCAAATACTGACAAGTGTGGTAACTGTATCCAGTAACACTGTGTCAATTCTATAATGACCGACAAAACAAATATTTTTCTACCGTAGGTTTAATGCAGTTAAGATGGCCAAAATGAGTACACAAATATCAAGGATAAATAAATTTAGTTACTCTCTCAATTAATTTTGCGAGCCTCTGGGTTTGTGTAGCTGCCTTTTAACCAATTTATTCCCATCCACTATTGCACATATAAACTGAGTTTTGTCAAGCAAACAAAGACAGTCAAATGGAAAGTCAATCATAAAATCCTTCTCTAAAAGCCCCACTTGGCTTAATTTTGTGCTGTGCATTCTTCCATTAACTGACAAGCTATGTGACAATGAGCTGCACTTATGCTGGATGATGACACTTAAGAAGTGCTACATGTCAAATGCAAAAATACTGTAAATAAAAGTAGATTATTTTTGGTCTGCCAGCATTTGTGAACAGAGAAACAATTTACCTTTCAGTTTGATAAACTTCTATGGCAATAAAAAATGTAGATCAGAAAGGAGGTCAAATAAGGGAGTATGGAAAAGGAACAGAAAAATAAAGGCCTGTAATTGGGATTAAACAATATATAAACAAAGTTGATGACACTAGGACAAATGGAATGATAATGGAATAACTCTGAAGTTAAAAATATGGCTAGAGGAGGTGTGAATGGCAAAATAATGAACAGCTGCCGTATGCAAACAAAGGCAACAGAAAAACAAGATTAAAACTGAAACACACAATGAGAATGAAACAAAATTGGAGCAGAGATTACAATTTAAAATTCTTGAACTCAAGGCTGAGGCCAGAAGGCATCAAAAGATCAGGTGTCATTCTTGAATCTAACATTGAGCTTCATAATACTATTGGATGGTTCACAGTGTCCTTATTGCAAGATACTGAATATTTAAATGAAATAGAAATCAGACATTTATGTTCCTTCTGGACTTTTTATAAAAAAGGCTTTCATTACCTGCCATACTCACAGCTATGGCATATTCCTTACAAATGCAACAGTGAATTATGAAAATACGTGGAAATAAAGAATGCAATAAACTTCAATCGCCTTCACACCCTGCAGCAGTGCAAGAATATCCAATAAAAATGATTATTGATTGATGGATTATAAGCCTAGACACAAATGTCTTAAAATGACAAATTTAAATGCTACCTTCAAGACCACCTAGAAGGTCAAGTGCAGCACATTTATTGAAATATCAACAGCTACAAAGGTCCCGTTTAAGACATTCATCATCCTAACCCAGAAATATATTGCTGTTCCTTCACTGCAATTAGGTTAAATCCTGGAACTTCCTTTCTAATAGCATTGTAGATGTATCTACAACAAATGGATTGCAATGCTTCAAGACCATCACCTTCTCAAGAGCATCTAGGAATGGGTCATAAATGCTGGCCCAGCCAGTGACACCCACATCCCAAGGGTGAAGAGAAAAAAAACATTTTCTCTCATCCATGCTACTATTGGAGAACTAATGCTTTCCAATGAGAACCAAATTTATAGAATTGGGAGGAGACCGTTCCACTTGTATCACCATTCAGTTAGTTCACGGCTGGTTTGTATCCTACACCATCTATATCCCTTGATTTCATAGCCCTTAATAACACTGCAAAACTGAACTGATATATTTTTGCTAAGCAATGTTTGATTGACTCTTAGCCACAACAGCTTTTTGAGGGAGTGATCTAGATTTCCTATGTTTGAAGTATTGCTTTCTGATACTACTTCGATGACTGAGCTCAAACTTTAACATCATGATACCTTATTCTGGAATTCTTCTTCTGATCAAATCTCCAACTCATTTTAAAACCACAATTAGATCACTTCTTAATCTTCTATATCCAAGAAATTAGAAGTCTAGGCTGCTCTACTCCAGCTATCACTTTGTACCATTCCTGTTACAGGCCCATACTTGATGGAGTTAGGACTTGATATCAGCATCTTGCTCGTACATACTGCTGATAACAGGCCTTCCAAAAGCGTGGGTTATGACCACAATTGTTGTGCCATGGTCACGAGTCTGGAGGCAGCAATGACTCTCATAGAGTTGCAACTGAGTGAATAGTTACAAAGTAACCTCAAATCCCACCACATATTAAAATTGTGGGCATAGTTTAAACAACTCAACTCAAGGCCTGATTCCTGCAGAAATGAAAATGGAAGACCTTACTTTTAAAAAAACCAGGAGATCTTCTCTTCATTTTCTGTACTGTACCTCCATCTCAGTCAACATACAGGTCTGCGTCAAAAGGCTTGGGTTCAAATCCCATCTGTTCCAGAAGTGTATCAAAAAACGTCTTAACACGTTGATTTAAGAAAAAATCTACAGGTCTGTCCAGGCCCCTCCAGGTCTTCACTGCTGACTCCAAATCCCAAACATGACACTTACTCAATTTGGTGGTGGTGGTGGTGGTCATAACAATTTTTCAAGCTTGAAATGGGATCCTGGTGGGTCTGGGGACGCCTCGTCTACTGCATATTATAATGTCCCAAATTGCTTCATAGGGTTAATTCATGCATCCTATCCTCACTGCTGCATTTCATCTATTTCACCAGTGTACAACTCAAAATTAGGTCAACTTTGCCAAGGAAATTCTCCTGACAAGTGGTCCAGAGTTTAAAACAGCCCACTGGACTTGAAGCAAATGTAACTGCAAGTAGTTCCACATTGGAGGACCCTGAGAGTACACACCGATTTAAGAGTTGAATTGGATAAGCAAGGTTGGAAGAGTATGTTGACAATGTCTGGTCAATGTTCTCATAAAAGTTACCAACAGCCTTTAAATGAAACAAAACATTCTAAAAGGTATTTGACAACAGCAACCATCGTTACAAAAAGTCTGTCACTGGGTCACATATTAGGAGACATGATCAAAAATCCTGGTCAATGAACTGAGTTTTAACGAGTGACTTATACACGGTATAGAAGCAGAGAAGAAAGTCCAAAAGTTCAAGCCTGAGCAACTAAAGGCGCAGTGGCTAATGGTCAACTGATTCAAATCTTGATGCACAAGTGGTCGTAACTGGAGCTGTGCAGTGACCTCAAAAGAGTTCCAAAGCCACAGGAGATCATAGAAATAGGTAGTAAAAGAACAAGATTTGAAAAAGAAAGTTTCTCAACCCCACCTCTCTTACAGCAATGACAATCTCTATAACAATTAATGAAAGATTTTCATTTCCCTTCAAAACAATCATCCTCTAATCTCACTATTCCTTCCAATCAATATGCGCTCAAATATTGTCATATAGACAAACTACAATAGCAAATCAAAGTCCATGTTTACATTTTAAAAAATCTCAATCTAAGGGCTGATGGCCACCAGTTCACCCGAGGAGTTCACTCAGAAAAACTGACACAAAGCACAAGGATCCTTCACATTGAAAGGATAAATAGAAAAATGTACACACTTACTACTGCTGTTAACTTTCTGTAAGTTTCTGCTTTCGACAGGCAACTCTGAAACTTGTGTGTATTACTCAGTGGACAGGATGATTTGTGACACTATCCTAACCACACAGCAGATACAGTGTCAAGTTAAAATTCAGCCAGGGTCCATCTACATCATTCTGGCACTGCAGCAACACATCATTTTTGAAACTTTAAACAGGTTCCAGCGTTTAATCAACTCAGCAGCAGAAGGATTACAGGCCACTGTCCTTTCGTCTACTTTACTCAGAAGTGGGCTGGAATAGAAATCTGGCAGTAATCTCACTGAGTTTCAAATATGGCTTTGCTGACATGGCTACCCCTAATCATTCTGAACACATGCATCAACAATGTCCCTTTCTGAAGTCAAAGAAGTTACATGAAGTGTTTTAATCAAGGGCCAGTGTGTAAATGCACATATCATACGAGTCTGTGTAAAGTCTCAACAAAGCTTGCATTGAAAAAGTATTCAACACAGTTCACAACTACATCTCAACTACAGGGACAATAGCTCTTTTCTTAAAAAAAATGTTTGAAGAATTTTCTCCCAGCGTAGGGAACAAGCAAACCTTAAAATCTACTTGCATGCTTAAACCCACTCCAATAAGCATGTAGCTGATATGATCCCAGGATATACTGGCCATTCCCAAAGCATGACATTTCTGATCCTTCCTACCTCTCCCCCAAGACTCCCAGTCATCTTGTTGGTAATTTTCAACAAATTAAACACAATCCTCCTGTTTTCATATTTCAGCTACAGCCAGTAGCACATTTCAGATGTCAACACAATTCTGTGCAAAGAAGTG